GCTGAGCTGCCAACAGGCGGCAGGATGGCTCAGCTAAAAAAAAAAAAAAAATGTTTATTGATTATTTGTCTTCTTTAATGACTCACTTGTATATGTCCCTTGACATTTTTCTTATTTAGGATTTTGGGGGCAGTTTTCCCACTATTGATTTAGATGTGTAGGATTGGCTTTTCATTTTTCAATTATTTTCTTCCTTTTAAAGTTTTTTAAAAGTGTTTTTGTTTTTTTCTTTTTTTAAAAAAGTGTTTTGATTATTGGTTTTGCCATATAAAAATTTTATACTTTCATGTAATTAATCCCTCAGTCTCTTGATACACTTCTCTCTACATTTGGTACCATGCTTAAAAAAAGTATTCTCTACTTCAAATAATTATTTGTATTTTCTGTTTATTTTTTTAATGATCTGTTCTAAATATATTGTTAATATATCTGGATTTTTTTTAAATTATGGTGTAATGTAGAAATCTTTTATTCTAGTGGTATTGAATAAGCCATCCTTTTCTACTCATTTGAAATGTACCACCCTCTTAATGAAGAAAATGGTTGAGGGTACTTCAGCCTTTTTCTCGCCCACTCCTTGTGGTATCAAGATAAATATACATTTCTTAAATAAACTAGGGCCTGTTTTTATTATTATTTCCCTTTTAGAGTTTTGAACCATCTATATTGTGTCAGTACTACACTTGCAAGGATTTTAGACGCAAATTCAAAATATGACTTTATTTTGGTTCTTATCAATCAGTCATGATCTAATTATTGAACTAATTTAAATGTTTCTGTCATCTGTAGCCTCAGAAATTACTTTATAATCTTAAATCCATTTCTTAAGACTTATTATAATGTAAGGTACTATGTGAGGCATAGGGGCTATTGCAAGGAACAGGTAGACAAGGATCCTGCCTGAGGGCCCCACCTGACTGTATACTAATAAAAATATAAAGTAGGTAACAGGCAAATAGAATAATGTAAGTTATAAAACACTTTTAACACTGGTAGAGATGGCTTCCCAAAGAAAACAACATCTTGGCTGAAACCTTAAGAATGAATAGGTTGAGTAGATTTTAATCAGGCAAATAGCCTAGAAATAGAAAGACTGTTGCTTGTAGGGGCTCAGAAGAAAGAAAACATTTGGAGGCCAGAAGCAAAAGAGTCTTTTGCCTCCGGGAAACTGAAAGAACTTATCTGTGGAGCATGAAGCCCACTTAGAGGAAGGGGTGGTAAGACTGGCTAGAAAGATCTACAAGAATCAGTACAGATCCTCAGAAATGGGTTTTAAGCAAATGAAGTTTTCAGATTTACATTTTAGAAAAATCATTCTTACTTGCTGCAGTGAGGCGAATGGATTGAAATTGGCAGTTGTGACAGGGGCTTGGAGACTTTTCCAGTATTACAGTGAGAATTGAAGATAGCCGAAAGTAGGATAAGACAGTAGGAATAGACATGGACAAATTAGATATTTGGAAAGTAGAATGGAAGGATGTGGTAATTGAATGGGGGGAAAGGGAGGAATCCAAGAAGAGGCCCGGTTTCTGCCTTCATCAGATTGGTGTGGAGGTAGGGGAAGAACAGGCTTTAAGATGTATTGCTTGTGAGTTGAGACCGTCACCTAATGAGGTCTGTGTACTATTAGATGTAAGAATCTTAGGAGAGCGATGGACAGGCTGTGAATCTGGGTGTCGTCAGACGGTGAGTGAAGGCTGAGAAAAGAGTAAGATTGCTGGAGGAAGAGCAAGTGTGGAACCCTAAAGAACACCCACATTTAAGAGATAAGCAGAGGAGGGTGAGCCTACACAGGAGCCCAAAGAAGAGTGCTTAGTAGAGAGAAAGTGGGAAATCAGGAATCCAAGGGCAACAATCTCTTCAAAGAGAGTCATTAGAAACATTGCTTACAGGGCAAGTAAGATCAAGACTGTGGAATATCCCATAGATTTAGCAATAAATAGCTCTTTTCCTTGGTAAGCATGATAACAGGTTATTTTTAAGTTGTTTTTTAATAAAGGAAATTTCATTGCTATTACTTTAGTTTGCTCTCAGATTTTCGATCAAAGGAAAAATGTACCTGTCTTTTAGCCCATTTCGTTGGTCAAATTCAAATATTTTAAAATTAAATTTAATTCAGTGACACTGGTTAATAGCACAAGTTTCAAGTGTACAATTCTATTATACATTATCCGTATATTGCATTGTGTTCTCACCACCCAAAAGTAGAATTTTTTAATGCTGTATTTCCCAGTTAGTGGACTGCTGAGACTGACAGGATTGTGTAGGATTGACTATTATAAGTTTTAAAAGGGTAGATGTGGTTATGATCAATGGAGTTTTAAAAATTATTAGAAAATATGTTTGAGCGCAGAGTAGATTTTGGATATTTTGTATTTTTCTCACTTCAACAGATACCAAAGTGATAACTGCTGTCATTTTAGTGTCTGAAATGTTTTAGCTTTATAAAGAGAATCCTGCAGGGTAGATGCCTCTGGAGTGTTGTTACTGTCCTAGATCATGATCCCGCTGGTCATTAGATGCTGAACTTAATGATAATTCACTGAGATAGGTACTGTTCTGTATGTATGTTGTAGTTGAATAAAGATTTTGTTTTGTTTGGTTTGGTTTGAAATGGGTTGTGAGAGAGTCCTCATAACTCCAAAAATAACTATTTCAATAAATCAAGATTTCTCATATGCCTGTGCCAAATGACAGGAGCATTACACCATAGTTCCTCCCTCCCTTCCTGTGTGACCCTCAGTTGTGTCTAGATACTTTTCCATGGAGTAGAGATGACTTGGTGTTATCAGCCTAACTGGGAAGATTCCAGACAGACCAGCAATCATTCATGTGTCATATTTTGTATATTTAAAAATTTAGGGAACCTTAAACCCAAGCCCACCATTTCAGCCTCCACTTTAACCATAATACGAAGCTATTCAACTTACAGTCCACTTATTTGTTTTATCACTGCAGGAACATTCCTTGCTTGTTCCCATTTTGCTATTGTTCTTTATACTTTCCTGATACAGCCGAGTTTCCACTTGCGTGAGAATCACTTGGAGAACTTATTAAACATGCATATTCCTCGCTCCACCGAAGACCTGCTGAAAAGTAATTTCTGTGTATGGGAGCCTGGGAATTTTCATTTTAACAAGTTCCCCAGGCAGTTGAGAACCACTGCTTTGCCATCTAACCAGGCTTTCAAGCGTCAGTTCAACTTTTCTTTCTCCATGAAATAATTGTCTTTGCTTAGGAAGATCCCCCTCTGAACTCCTGTCTGTACTTCTCATTGCCTATAGATCTTCTGTAACTTTGTACTTACTTTCTGCAGATTTATGTTGTTTCTGTGATAAGTACTCAGGTTACAAGTATTCAGCTCTGCCACTATAGTATGAAAGCAGGCATAGACAATACATAAATAAATGAGCATGATTGTAGTCCAATAAAACTTTGTTTTCATTTTATATAATTCCCATGTCATGAAATATTCTTTTCTTTTTTTTCCAAACATTTAAAAATGAAATTCTTAGCTTAAAGGTCATACAAGAGTAGGCAGTGGACTGGATTTTGCCCATGGGACGTAGTTCACTAACTCCCTGCTCTAGATTATTTCCCTAACAATGTTGGTCAGTATACAATAAGTATATGAGTACTGAGTGAGTGAATTGTTATACTCATGATTCTGCACAGAGCATTAAGTTACTCATCTTTTTTATAATGTGACCTAGTGTGCTAACTGGTTCATAAATGTTTGTTGAGTCACTTCAACTTTCCTCTAAAATTGATGCCAGGGTAACCAGTGTTTTCCATTTTCTTAAATCAGCTGCTTTTTTTCCTATGTGTTTGAATAGGAAGGCCCAAACAGTCTAATTAATGAAGAAGAGTTCTTTGATGCTGTTGAAGCTGCTCTTGACAGACAAGATAAAATAGAAGAACAGGTATATCTATTAAAAATTATAATATTGGGTATTCCTTCATGTGTGTTATACTATAAATAGAATTTGAAAATCTTGAAACTGATGACCTAGAAAATAAACTGTCTACATTATGTCACATATGTAGAAGAATATTTTTAAGTCACTTCCTTTATTGATCAATTTCCAAGTAAGAGGAAGAAGACCAATGATAATTTAAAGGAAGCATGAAATTAAATGAAAAGATTCTGCCTTTTCCCCTTGAAGTATCCAACTTTATTAACATTCTATTAATATAAAGCATAAATTTACTCTGAGTAAAACAGTCTCTGAATTTCTCTTTACCACCAAGTGCCATATAAACATAAAAGGAGTATGACCAAGAATTTGTTTTTCTTCTGCATTAGTACCAGTTTTTATTAACTCCTTTAATGTTTTCAGTACCTTCACCTTCAGTTGCTTCCTCACTTTTAACTTTGCTCAGTGTTTTATCATAATTAAATTCACAGGAGTTATACCTAGCTTCTGTAGAAACTGAAAGAAAGCATTTCTTAAATCCTTTAATTCTAATTTCAAGATTAATGTGATCCTTTGCCTTCAATGCAGTTACCATGCATTACCACTAGATGGTACTTACGGGTGAATTTTTGTTACTTTTCTCAGTACTTAAAGCAACTTGGTAAATAAGTCATATGTTATCAGTTTTATACAACAGATTAACTTACATAAAAACATTGATATGTTCATTCCCTGTCATTGCTAAGGCAGTCATGGCCACTGTGCCGATTTACCGATCTAACTACCTGAGGGTAAATCACCTGCAACAGTGACTGCGTTTCATGTTCATTTTTCATTATTTTTTTCCCTAAGTCAGTGATAAAAAGTTCATGTCATACAACTTACACAGCTTATTGCTCATTTTTTTATACCTAAAAGACATTACACAGTACTCAGTAAGAGTGGGAACTTTCAATTCCTAAATGAGCTCTAATTTTTGATGCTGAAAGTATTATGCATCATTGTGTTTGGTTTTTTTAGGAGTTTTTTCCCCTTCACTGTGGTTGATTGGTTGGTTTTTTTTAATCTAACATATGTTATAAGAAGAGTAGTGAACTGTGAGATCAAGACAACTTCATTCTTATTCTTAGTTTTGCCACTGACTATGTATCTATAAACTTACTACTTAAATTCTCTGGGCCTTGGTTTTCTAATCTGAAACAAAGAATTAGACAAAATGATTCAGATCATCCCTTCTGACTCTAAAATGCTACTCTCCTGAATATCAACACGGTGTTTGAGTCGGAGTTGAAGAAAATCAATAAAATCTTCTATAAGCTTTAGAAAAAAAGAAATATTTATGGGGCTATCCACTCATTTAATTTCAGTCTGTTTTTGACACTCTGGTAGATACTCTACAAAGCAAATTGTTAAAGAGACCATGACTTTCCTTGCCTAATGACTAGACATGCCAATATGACAAAGGGTTGCAGTGTGGTAATGCTGTGGTGTTATTAGGCTTCAGTAATCCATGAAATCAGTTCCAGAGTTCAGACTGTTCCCTTCATTGTATGCAGTAGGTATTGCACAGGGCTCTCAACAACACAGCCATTACATAGGTATTCTTTAGTGACATTTTTTTGAGTTGACATTATTTGTTTTACATCATTTATTAACAAGAAAAGATATCTGCAATAAAGTGGTAAGAAACAAGATCTTTGAAGTTGTGTCCAGATAGTGCTGAAAAGAATTACCAGTTATCTTCTGCATAGGTAGAAAATGAGCATATACACAACATAGCAGAGTTTCTTGTACATTATATTTAGTAAATATTTTTTGAATAAGTGAGAAGAAACTAGGCAAGCTGAGGAGGAAGAAAGAGGTTAAGTGGTAGCGCAACAGGAGTGAGACGATGGGATAAAGACGGAATACCTTTAAGGAAAGGAGACAAAGGAATACATGTTATGTTTTTTTGGAACACAAGTGAAGCAAATAAGAATATTGGCTCAAATAATGCAGCCCTACCGGACCCTGAGGAGGTAGAATGATTGCAATAATTTGACCAGAGTTCAGATAAGAAAATCAGCATTGATTCATGGTAAATGATGCCATGCTAGTATTGGAGAGTCTGACTAGGAGCAAAATAAAACAATAACTCCTGTTCTAAGGTAGCTATGGAGTCCAAAAGAGATTAAATTGGGATGCGTAAAGTAAGTGGCAGGATTTGGCAAGGCCTGTATCTTTTAGGAGTAGTTTCATAATTCAAATATAAGTACTGAAGTATTCCATAATTAAATGTTGGTAGTTCCAGATTATATTATCCATTCTTTAGATGCAAAATACACTTAAAAACCATCCTATTTTAACATTATGTGTTTTCTTAGTCACAGAGCGAAAAGGTCAGGTTACATTGGCCTACACCCATGCTATCTGGAGATGCCTTTTCTTCTGTGGGGACTCATAGATTTGTCCAAAAGGTAAGCTAATGTCAGAGTTTACTGAAAGTGTATGTTGTATTGTGCTTTGCTGTTGATGGAACTATCGTGTATAAATTTTCTCCCTTTTCTTGAATTTAAGTAATGAGATTTTTTGATATTATGTTTTCTTCCATATACATCCTTCAAAACAGAAGTCTTCTGAACATAATGTTCTTGCTTTTTTTATTCAAGGGGAAAAGCAGCTTGGGGGTGAATAGGGAGTGACTAGTCCAAAATAGTTAACCAGAAGCATAGCCAGTTACATTAAATTTCTTTTTCCTTTGGGGTTAACTGGTATTATTTTATATTATTGGAAGCACTGCATTCTTTTTATAAAGACTTTGGAGCATAACACATAATAGGTGCATGAAGTCAGCACTTGCTGCTGAGCTTGTTTCATATAGTGCTTTGTTTTCCCTTTCTTTATCTTGTGTTTGGAAGTTGGTACTGAATGCTCTGTTGTGCCTTTGTTCTGATTACTTGGTTTTTTCTTTGTCTGTCTCTGGTAGCCCTATAGTCGCTCTTCCTCCATGTCTTCCATTGATCTAGTCAGTGCCTCTGACGATGTTCACAGATTCAGCTCCCAGGTACTGTATGAATGTATAGAGTCGACTTGAGTCTTTCTGTGCTATATTTCAGTCTGCTTTCCCAGTTCCTAGAAATCTTTTGGTTAGGCCACTTGTTTTGGTTTTGAATTTTAAATAACAACAATAAAGCATTAAAAAGGCCTTCCTTGTCTACTAAATAGTCCCTCTATCAGGCTTGCATGTGCCCTTTGTATCCTCTACTGTGAATAGCTTGGAATTTTGCCATATAGGACTTGAAGGTACTTGGTTTTTAAATATAGTGTAATATCTGTTTCTTCAGACAGGATTCAGCAATTTTGAAGGGTATGGTCTACAGGATATTTTATAGCATAAAAGCAGGTTTTAACAGTCTCACTTCTAATTTAAAATATCTCATAATTATATTCAACAGAGAAATAACTTTATTTTTTTAATCCTTTTTTATTTTTATTTTTCAATTACAGTTGACATTCAATATTTTATATTAGTTTCAGGTGAACAGGAAATAACTTTTTAAATAATATTTGTCTCATTACCATTATAATGTTGAACAGGTTGTACTTTCCTTATGCACATTATCCTTGGATATTATAAATTAATATTGCTGTTCCTATGCTAAATCAATGGAAATTGATTTTAATTGGTCATTTGGCATTGGCATCATCAGTAAGAGTTTAGGAATTTAAGACAGGAAGCTGGATGCTTGCAGTCTCTGTCCTCAGAATAACATCTTTGGAGGAATATATTTTAGCATCAGCATTAGTTGGAAAAAAAGGTTTTTTATCTTCACATCTTTGCAATTCAACTTTGTATCTTCATAGTGATTGCATTTTATTGTATTGCATTATGTTATCGTAAGACCTGAATTCCCAGTGAAAGCGATTGTGTTTAAATCCTGGTTAGCTGCATGATATTGAACAACTTTCTTAACTCTTCTGTGCTCCACTTCTGTTATCTAACTAGGACTCTGATCTACCTAGGGCCTGTCATGTAGTAAGTGTTCAGTAAGTGTAAGCTTTCATTAACATTATAATAACATAATTTCTTTGAGCTGATCAAAATGATCTGTCATTTTTTTTCTCTCAGTATTCAAATGAAAGTGTTTAAAAGTCATAATTTATGGCCGGCCGAGTGGCTCAGTTGGTTAAGAACTCGCTCAAGAGTGTGAGCTTTGAGCAACAGCAGTTAGAGTCCCGGCCCGAGCTGAGCTACCACTGAGCTGCCAACAGGTGGCAGAATGGCTCAACTAAAAAAAAGTAAAAATAAAAAAATTTAAAAAGTCATAATTTAAAACAAATTTCTGTTAGTTTACACATATGAATAAAATTTACATTAGTTTTTATGCAATAAAGAAGAAAATAAATATAAGAATCAGATTGTTTTTCTGACTTTTGCAGCTTTTTTCTCCTTAAACATTTTTGAGTAAGATATGAATTAATTTATCAGAAATCACCTATAGCTAAACTTATTAACAATATTTTTTACCTTTTGCTCATCCATTTATATATGCTTTTTAAAAAGTGAGTCGTATTTACAATAAACTAGTGATAAAACTAGAGACTACTGGGAGACTTTTGTTTATTCTGCCATGTTCCACCTTGCATTAAAATAGTAAAATAACAGACAAACTAAAACCCATCAGTACTGGTCAGTATTTTTCCTTAAAATATAGGAACACATAGGCCATAAATGAAGAAAATGTAATGAGAGCAAGAAAAGACTATAAAGCCACTAACTAAACTAATAGGTACCTAGGAATCAGGGCTTCAGAACCCAGACCTGGGCCCTAGCTGTAGCTAAAACAGCTGAAAGCCTTCAAGTACAGGTGATTATATCACTGTGAAGCAGGTGCCCAGATTTTTACAAGAGTTGTGCTGAATAGTAGCTTACTTTTCTTTACCTAATTTTTTGTGTAACTCATGTATACAAGTTAGGAAAAGTCTTTCTGGTGGGTTTTTTTCCTAATATGTGATGCTGTGCTTGATCAGATTCTGTTTTAACTTTTGATTATTATACTGTTATATGGCAAAAGAGGCAAACGAGAAGCAAAATAACATTTAAGTCTTCAATTATTAATTGTCCTTGCTAAAATATTTGTTGTTATTAGAATATTTGGGCTCTGGCGTTTAACAATTAATCTGGCTTTGACATCTGTGTACAAATCTTGGCTCATGACTGCTTTGTTATTGTTGAAATCATTCATAATACTGATTAGGTAGGATAATTAAATAGAACTGAGAGCTACCTTGAAAATAACTTCAAATAAAATATGTCAATCTACTAGGAAACAAGTAGCAAATCATAAATCTGTTTGATGGGCAGATACTAGGAATGAAGTAGCTCTAAATCAAATTATACAGAAAGTAGAAAGGACTTGGATTTATAAATGGATCTTTTGGGTTATTTGCGTAACACAGTTACCATCTAAAGACGTCACCTCAAAGATCAAAGAGAAAAAAATCCTCAGCTGGGAAAAAAAAATTAGTGTGGGTAATACACCTGCAGGTTAATCTATGGTGAGCATCATTACAAAAACAATTCTGTGCAAAGCTCTTTACCACTTTATGTCCATAGTAACACATTGTTGTGGTAATTATTTCACCCCTCCATTTTTATTGTATACATGCTAATTAGAGCAGAACTAGAAAGTAAATAAAATTAAAATACTACATCACTATTAATATTCTCATGCATATAAAAAAATCAGGCACATATTGGTAAATACACACACCTTAGTTCTCTTTCCCTACCAAACTAGATAATTCTGTATATACTGTTTTCTAACCAGCTTTTTTTTTTTTAAAGCATATTATAATTAGGTTCATCTTCTCATCAGTAAATACAGGTCTTGACCTCCTTATATGTACTTTCTGATATATGTATACCGAGTTTACCTACTCACCTAATGTTGAACATTTCGTTTCTTTCAGTTTGTGTCTATTATAAATAGTACTACCTGGGCGTCTTTGTATGTATAGCATCTTTATATATACATCTTTGTACACTTATTCAATTATTTCCTTAAAATATATTCCTAGAAGTAGAATTGTTAGGACGAAGCCCTAAGTTTTTTTATTTGGATTACTAAACTGTTCATTAGAAAAGCTGAACCAGCTACATTCCCAGGTCAGTTCTCCTTTGCCATACTGACACTGCATATTATAATTCAGTTTATTTTTGCCGATCTGATTGATACACTAAAGGTGGTATTTTTGCTTCTTGACTGTTTACATTTCTTCTGTGAATTGACTATTCATATCCTTGGCCATTTTTCTTTTGGGTTAACAGTACACTGATAATTTGTTATTAATTATTCTAAACAACAAATCTCTATGACTCTGTGACTCTAATAATAAGCATAGCTGTATTCCTTTCACATGTGTAAGAGAAAGAGACCTGAGCTGTGTTTGAGCCCTCCTATATTTATTTTTGTTCAGTAGAATTTTGTTCGTTACAATTCTGTTGTGCCATCAAAGGGCAATTTTTTTTTTAGTTTCTGTATTAATAAGGTTAGAAAAATCCAATTAGACAACCTCCTAAAATAGCATCCTGAATGATTCAAATGTGAGGTGAAAGCAAAGGTTATAATTAGAGTGCCATCACTTCTTATTTCAAATGTGTTTTATCTCCATTTTTTTATAGTTCATTTAATATGAAGATGCTGTGTGTGTCAGCGCATCATTTTCAGGTCTAGGTCCAAAAACATCAACGGCATGATTCCGAAATTATGCTTAGTCTAATTGCAAATACTATTAAAGCAGGGAAAACCTGCTTTGCTTTTTTTTTTTCAAGTAATAGCAGGTGTTACTAGTAACATTATTTCCTAGTATATCAGATTTTGAACCTAATAAAATGGTAAATTTAGCTTGTGTTTATTTTTATCATCCAACTTAATGGTCCCTTGTTTCCCACTTAATTTGATATACAGAGTCATAACTGAAAACAGTAAATGGATCATTAGGTTAGACCTGAAGTGTCTGTGGTTACAAATGCCCAGGTCACTACTCCTGTGGTAAGATTGGCTACTTCGTATTTTATTGCAGTGAACATAAAATTCATTATAGTAAGATTTTGCCTGTATCATCTCTCTTGTTGACCTTAATGTTATTACCTGGAGGAAGACCCCATACTGGATAAAGATTCAATGATGAAGGCTTTGCAGAGATTATTACTACAGTAATTGAGTAATTCTTCAGTTTCCTATAATCTCCTACAAGCAGAGCACTGAATAGATCTTGTGTGTTTCTTTGTTGGACTTTTTCAAGCCCTCTAAAGTCAAGGAAGTAAATAAAAGCAGAAGACTGAAAACTTCCATAGGTGCAGTGATAACTGTGATAGGAATATAATTTCTTTCATCTGTCTAGAAAAATGATGTTAAATGTGCTTACTGTACATTGTCTTAACTTATTTTACCTCCTATCAATTTATATTTGTGGAATCTGGTTTCTTTTGGACAAAAATACAAATCAAAAGCACCTTCTTATTTTTCAAATGTTTGAAATAACTAAGTCGGGAATAATCTCCCAATCAAAAATACAATTACCTGTATACTTTACAACAAAAATGCCTAAATGGCACTAAAATTTTGTTGAACAGAATTCTGTCTGTGTTTTAACAGAATAAAATCCTTCATGGTCTTTTTTTCACAAGTAATCCATTAAAAGTAGGGCTTATTTTGGGGAAGCATTTCTTTCTGCCTCTAACCTCATAGTAAATATAGGTGTTCTGCACTCCCAGTCCAACCTAAAAAGTACATATTCAGATCCTAAGATTTTTAAGACCTTGGGATCTGAAAAGGGTAAAAATTTCTCCAAACCACAAGGTGACACTGACAAATGAATCAAGATAGTGCTACTTGTTTTTGTTTTTGTTTTTAACTTATGAATACTAACCGGACCTTTCATTGTTTTTCCTCTTTGGGAAATGAGATACATTTTAAATGTGTTTATAACTCAGAATCTCACATTAATCATCCTTAACCCTCTAAAAGTTCAAAATTATAGCAGCACACAGGTTTTTCCAGGCGTCCCCTGAAGTTTTCTAACCTGGGTTTATAAAATTATAGACTGTACTATTAGTCACATTTTATATTTTCACTCAAGTCTGTAACCCAACACCATTCACATTGTTCTGATGATTATGAATAAAGAAATAAACTTTATGTTAGTGTTTATTTAATACAAAAATAACTTGTAGAATCTCAGCATAAGCATTTTTATCAAAAACCTTTTTTGTGATAATTGTCAATTAAGGAGACATTTAAAGTCATACCTATTTTCAGTAACCAAAAATGCATCCTGAGATCCAGAAAACTTGTAGTAGCAGAAGTACATATCACAGTAACATAACATCCTTTTGTGTAGAAAACTTATAATTTTAAGACTTTCTGCCCCCAAACCATTAATGTTGTATTTAAAGTATTTATTTCAAAATATGTGTAAACCTGGTTCTTGTTCTGTATCCCTAAAGAACGTGCTAGTATTTATGAAAAATAAGTAAACTTAGGAATAAATTTTTTAATTGAAATATACATATTTTCCAACTCTTTTCCACCTTCTCTAATGTATTTATTACATAAAATTATGAGTAAAAGTTTAGAAAATAGAGCTTAGAGAAAGTGTTTTACGTAGATGGTAAAGGATCCAGTTCTTTCAGAGACAATCTTTTTATCACTTCAGTTCTGTTTTAAAAACTCATTTCAAACTAAGAAACTGCAAAGAACACTCACATGAAACCTTACCAATAAATCTGATTGAGGATTCTGGGAGTGTGAAATATTCAACTTTATTTATTTATATAAGATGTGTAGGGGTAATTTGATAGTTAAAAGCAGAGTTTGCATTTAAATTTCAGTAAGAGAAAGTTAGTTAGAAATTTTAAAAGAATGAACTAAAAGGTGATTATTTGTAAATGTTTGCATACATGAATATTAGCATTGTCCCTAAAAGAATTTAGAACAATGAAATTGGAATCAAATAAATGAGGAAGTTGATTATTTTTTAACTTGGCTTATATTCATGATAAAAGAGAAGTTTATTGATGAAATAACAAAAGTTTTGTTACTTTTTTGTAGAGAAATCTTGTATACAAGCTAATACCTCTGTAGTCTTAAATATAGGAACACTGGACTAGATGGTCTCTTTGTGATCTTTTTACCCTAGTGTCCCATGATTTTATGCTTTAAGACATCATCTCTGTAAGGAAGCATCTTAAGATAAAAAAATAATTTTTTTTCCAGAAAATGCTTATTTTGGTCACTTGGCTACACATTAGGCCCAGTATATGAAGCATCTTCCTTCCCCACATTTCTCCCTCCTGTCACTAACCTAGATATGATACCTGGAATGCGGACTAAACTCTTTAACACTATATAAAATCTACTAACGTTTGTGCATTTGGTTGCTCAGCTTTCTAAGAACATCATTTATGAACTGAAGTAAACAATACCATTCTGTTTTAGAGATTATATCATAGCTGTTCATTGGAGATGGATTCTTACAGCTTTATTTTTCTTTTCAAGGTTGAAGAGATGGTGCAGAACCACATGACTTATTCATTACAGGATGTAGGTGGAGATGCCAACTGGCAGTTGGTTGTAGAAGAAGGAGAAATGAAGGTAATTTCCAGTGAAATGTTATAGGTTACTAATTGCAGCTCTCTTACAGTCATTGCTATTGATGTGAATAAGGATAGCTTTTAAATTACTTTTAAACAAATTACATATGATCAAAGAAGCACCAGATATTGAAAAATAAAATGTCCTTTTGCTTCCGTGGTTTAGCTTTTACATAATTTCTTTATTAATCAAATCTATGCATAAACCATTGTGTTTACCCTAGGCCATGAAGAAAGTAATGTTTTATAGTTTATAGATATGAATAGGTCACAATTAGCTGATGGCTCTTATTTTGGATATTTCTCTCTCTCTTTTTTATTATAATAAACGTTGTGCCCAGATATCATTTTGTATTCCCCTCTTTGGTCTATACCTCATTGATTATCCTTTCTCTCACACTGTACCTTTTTTAAATATTTGGAGATTGGTCAGCTAAACTTGTTCACACACCTAAACTCAAGACACAGAATAAGAGCAAGGACCAAGAGATTCAGAGATGGATTGAAAAGCAGCAGCAGCATTAAATTTTAGATTACGGTACCTCATGCCTAAGGCACTATGCTAAAGATAAAAAGATGTTTAATAGCACTGCCTCCAAGCTAAAACATTAGTTGGGGAAAGAGGATATTGACTTGGCTCCATCTGATAATTGAATGAAGAGTGCAGAGGAGTAGTGGAGAAAAGTTGGAAAAGAAAGAGATCTCTCTGTTCTGAAATAATTAGATTATTTTACATAGAGGAGAAGCATTTGAACTATGTCTGGAAATGGAAACAAGGTGTGACAAAGGTGTGGTGAGGGCATTTTAGACAAGAAATAACAGCAAAAATTTGAAAGGCAATTTCTTATTCAGTAGTTTTGTATAGACTGTGTTGATCAGACTTATTCTAGCAAATGGAATACAGTTAGTAGATGTTGGAATTTCCCCTCCTTAATAGGGAACAAATTAAGAAATAAGAGGGGGCCAGCCGAGTGGCGCGATGGTTAAG